CCCCTTAGACTTTAAAAGAACGAGAAAATTCCTATGAAAGACTGCCACCGCGGTCCGCGGTGCCGCAGTGCTCGCTATGACCCTAGGTTACAGAAACCCCAAGCATTGCCGAAGACTAGCCMTAAGCCTAACCTCAGCTACGGGGAGGGGAGGGGAGGGTGCAGTCCGTAATTTTAATAAGCCGGTTTTTTTCCTTTTTCGGAGGAAATAACGATAAAGAAGTATAGCAAACATGATAATTTACACTAAAAATACTCGATTGAAGTGACTTATTTTTAATTTATCGAGAATTTCAAAAATACCCTGAAAAGCCATTTCCGCAGCCTCCCCTTCAATTCTTAACTATCAACATCTAATAAGATTTAGTTATCAACTAACTAAGAATTCACTGGAGCATGAACACAATGCCAGAAAGGACACTTGTCTTTGTTTATGCCTCACTAAATTCTTAGTTAGTTGATAACTAAATCTTATTAGGTGCTAATTAGTTAAGAATTGTTTCATGCTTATGTGACGTGCACTCTACTACAAGTATTATGATCATCGCCCTGAAATATAAATAATCTATGCGATAGAACATGGTGGATTTCTTTTGTTTTCACCAGAAACTGATCTCACAATATTCAAAGTGAAAAACCGCTGTTTTTGTTTTGTTTTGTTATTTGTTTTTGAATTACTCAAATTCTGGAGTTAATCTACTGAGTTGCTTGATGGAGGTCATCAAGTGCTTGATGATAGTCAATAATAGAGTCCAAGTGTGAAAAAATATACCTGTAAAATAGATATGTAACCGGCTAGAGGTAGGCTGAAGACACTAGTCACACTAGGCTATGCAACAAGTATTTCATTCAACGTCCATATTTTGTTCGAAAAGCGAACACGTCTCTGCTAGTATTGTAATAGTATAGAAGCTACTATACTGATGATCGCAATTAGAGTCCAATCTTGCTACTCAGTTCATTTTCTTAGCTCGAATACCTATGAAGTTAAACTCTAAGTAATCCAAATTTTGGACGACAGTTTCTTCACTTTTCAGTGCATAGTTCAAGTTCAACTGGGTGAGATGACAGTTTTCACTTTTCAGTGCATCACTCAGCTGTAATACACCTTGATCAGTTATTTGATTTTCAGACAAGTCCAACTTGGTGAGATGACAGTTTTCACTTTTCAGTGCATCACTCAGGTGTAATACACCTTGATCAGTTATTTTATTAAAGGACAAGTCCAACTGGGTGAGATGACAGTTTTCACTTTTCAGTGCATCACTCAGGTGTAATACACCTTGATCAGTTATTTTATTACAGGACAAGTCCAACTGGGTGAGATGAGAGCTTTCCTGTTTGTGGCTGTCACTTACTTTACAGACGAAAATCTTCATAAGTTCTGAGCAACCATAATCACCAAAATCCAAACTGTACTCAATTGAAAGTGAGACCAGTCGAGTCATGCAGTGCCTTAAAACAAAAACAATAGCTGTACAATCAGGAATTGCAACGTCAAAGAAAGTTATGGAACCACTGAATTCCTTACAAGATTCCAGTTTTCTCGCAGCTCTCTCAGCAGCTTCTTCATTGCTCAGCTCGTAAAAGCATTTGAGAATAAGTAAAACTAAATCATCTTTATTTCCTTGAATTAATGAGTGGCAAAGCATGTCCTCAAAGCACATTGAAACTTCAAAAGTGTGTTTTTTCAATAGTCCTGCTACAAATTGTATTACAAGATACCAGTTATGATCTTCTGCTTTATCATTGATAAACTGAACAACCTCATTGAGGTCATCTGTCTTTGCAATTTCTCTGGCAGCAAGAAACTCTTGAAGTGTCAAATGAATAAAACAATACTGCGATGCCATAGCAAATCCTAATGCAGGATTTGTTTTATTTGGCATGCAGTTGAGAAAACCACAGTTTTCCAATCCTTGAACCTCTACTTCTTCAAAAACCAGTTGTTCATTTTCCATTCCTTTTATTGCAAGCTTTCCTAGTTTGGAGAGTACTTCCTCAATTGTGGTTGAAAATGTATTGTTAGTATAGTCACTGATAGATATTTGTTGTTGATCTTTTGGACTGTGCTTGAACAAAAACAGCCGCAATGCTCCTTTGTAGATGTCAGTTAGAGTGGTGGGTAGCACTAAGCTATCCAAACTACTACTATGTTTTGCGATGAAATCATATAACAAGGAACAGATTATCCAGCAATTTACTGGAATGTAACACAGATACAATAGGTTGAAATTGCTTTCTATGTGCAGCCAAATCTTGCTTGCTGTGGTTGCATTATCTTTACAAAACCTGTCAATGTATGACTTGACTTTTTCTGGAGTAAAACCCAAAATTTCAACAACTCTGACAGATTGTACATTTAAGATTTTCAGAGTGCCTACAGCATTTGGCCTTGAAGTTGTCAAAATTGTGGCACCAGGTAGTAGTTTCTTCTGTAAAAGTTTTGCATAAATAGCAGTTATGGGCATTTCATCTTTCAATCCATTCAAACCGTTGAATTCTGACTGGTCTTTAATAAGGTTTTCACGATGCTTATATTCATCTAAGCCATCAAAGATAAACAAAATCGATTGAGGATTGTCCATAACATTTTGTAAANGTCTATACGAAAAAAAACGATAGGGAGGGATAGACACTGTACCTGGGGCACACATCGGTCCATCACGTGACCAGTGTTTCATACCTTGTCACAGACTAGTTTGTATCCCGCGAGGCGCGCGATAGTGACGTAATACAACAGGTAATACCACAGGTAACCCACAGCGCGCGCCGATTCGATAACATAATATAAGAGCGTGCGCATTCATTCTTTTCTTTCTCTCAAGCAATAGTTGGGTAGCCTATGTCTTCGTCGTTAACTATTACATGTAACGTTTATCGAATGTCACGCAAGCCGAAATACATGAAGACCAACGAACAGTGTCAAAAAGTTTACAAAAATGAATATCAACCAGTTCAACCTTTTTAGTTGTTGCACAAACGCAATGAATTAAATAATTTTCCCACTGAAACACTTATCTGCGTGCACTATAGGGTTTTTTTGAAATTGAACAATAATTGTATTACTCTACCCTGGTCAGGAAAGTCGGTAAAAAACAGACACCGGGACTAGAAAGAGCATAAGAACTTAGTAAAGCTACTGAGTTTGAAGGTATTCGGGTTAATGATTACATAGTTTGAAGCGCTTAAAACTCAATGGACTGGACAAGGAATGTATGAAGGTTTTTTGAGCAGCGTCCCCAAAAACCATGCATTCTCTCTTATTTTTACAAATTTAAAAAAATTCTTACTCGTTGAGCATTCAGGCGCGTGTAAGTCGCGTAGCGTCCTTTACGCTTATGCGCACGTGCGTACTAGTAGCAAGGAAATATTGAAATTTTCGGGACTTTAATGCCTTTTTATACTCTCGATGACCTTCAAAAGGCTGGAAATCGCATTTCCAAGAGTTCTTATTTCAAAATTTCCCGGGGAGGATCCCCGACCCCACATAATACTCCAGCCTTCGGCCGTCGTTAGCCCCCCTAATCCAAAATATGTGTCGTGGTCCCTAACATGTGCGTACTAGCCAAACCGTCCACGCTACGCGCCTGGTATTCAATAACTAAATATGCTCAAACTTGACAAGAACACTTATTTTAGTGTGGTCTTTCATGTGGTGAGGTTCTGTTTTCGATGAATGTAATATTTTCACACTCATTCCTAGTGTCTCCTTTTGAAATTCGGAACGGCCAATAGTTCACCTTGTGGGCGATGGTGTGACTGCCCAGATTTTTTGAATAAGTGAAGAAGAGAAAATAGGAATTGGGATGGAAATGGTAATTTGAATATGCAGCTGAGATTTTTGTATTTTTGGATCTTTGGGAAGATTGTTACCCACCTGAAAGCAATTTACAAATTTTATTCATTCTATAATTTTTTATCTCGATTATCATATTTTTTTCTAAAGTAAAACCAAATTCCGTGAGCTTTTGTCCATCTTGTACTTTTTTTCTTGATTTGCATATGTAGATGACAAATTTTGCCTCTCGTGCAGCCTTCAAGCTAGTGGTACAGGAGTTAATGGAGGATTATAAATCGACCAACACAACTACAATTGAAAATGATAAAAAAACCTGAAATGTAACTAGTAATAAACACCAAAGTACCAATAATCCCCTGCGCCACTCGCTTGCAGGCTCAACACGCGACAAAGTTTCTCGAAACGAGCTTGATATGTAATTTTTCAAAAGTGCTGCAATGTCCCTGAATTATTTCCCATGACGCTGTATTCTTCGCTGAATCAATGGTCCAAACCAAGTATGAGTGGATTGGGTACAGACTCAATACAATCAGAGATGATTCATTCACACATCAATGGTACAAGACCCTTCGAGTTGGTTTAGGTAAGGTTGAAGTGCTGGAGAAACTTCTTCTTTGATGAACCTAACAACCTTGTTGTTTAAAACAGACAATGCGTAAGTCCTCATAATATTGACCGACTATTGTCATAAATCAAAATAAATATTTACGGAAAAACAAACAAACTATGAAAACCATTAAAATCAACTTCTTTGTTTAACACGTCCAACAAAAAAATTAACGACATTAACACAAAAATCACCGTTCCCATCACTAGATAAAACAAGGTAACCACAGCGTTAGTGGACACCACCGTTGTTGAGCCTACATAATGGTTTTAAAGCTCTCACTCGACTTATACATGAACAAATGAATTAAATACTTTAGTTTTAATGCTGTGAATAACTTTTTGAATAGTTCTACCGTACCTGTTGCGGTGCGCGTCCAATAAACGTCCTGGCGTCAAGTAACGATTCGAGTTCATCGTGAATAGGTGCAAAGTACTGACATGAACGAATCCTTTCCACCAAATCGTTGTCTTTACCTTCTTCTTTGACTACTTTACCGGCCTCTTGTGACAAAACACGAATATTTTCATGGCATTCCTATAGAAGGAATATTACAAACCTTTCATTGAGATATCWATAACGCGGCCGTCTCATTGGCAAAAGCTAAGAACCTTCCMACAGAGGGAATATTCCCCTCTACTAACTATGCTTCCAACGTGGTACAGCATTTTTTTCATTTCAATTTACTTTGCATCTGATCAGTTTTGAGGGTCAGGGGGGGCATTTTACCTGTCTGTTTCCCCCTTTCTTCACCATAGCCATAATGACGTTCTCTGAAGCCATGAAGGGCAATTCTTGCATTATGTGTCTTTCAACCACCTTGTGAGAATATATGATATATTCAGCTATCTATGCAGGCTCTAAACAAGCAGGGACTGGACCTAGTTGTCCAAAGCTCAGTCAACAATAATTATACGTTGACTGTTGAAAATCCAGGATTAATGTATATCGTGCTGTGAACAATCAGACTCTGAGCACAAGGTGTCATTTGAAATGAGCTACTGGAGATCACTTTTAGATTTTCGGTTGACCAAAACAACACATTGACATGTAGATGTCTGATAATGAGAAAATAAAATCATGACTTGAGAACGATAATAAGACCGATTTACACGGTACGATTATCGCATGCGACTTGTAGTACACGACTCAAATCAACTCCAAATGTACATGTAAATGTGCCTACGACAGTTGTACACAACCTAAAGCTTATAATAATAATAATAATAATAATAATCTAAGCTTATAAAGCGCTTATAAAACTTATAATAGGTTTTTGAACCGCAACTTAAAATCCCACAAGTTGTCGTACCAAAATCGTATACTACAAAAAAAATCCACCTATAAAACCTTAGAAGCTAGCACAATCAGCCTCACCTTTGGATATACAACCAAACCCTCAGAGATATTCTGCAGAGTGCTTAATATAATATCAGCTGTGAGAAAACCTTCAGCTAAACTGATTCTCCTGAAAAAACAACACCATCAAAGAGATAAAATATGAATACTTGACCTGGAGCCCCTTGATATAATGGTGTGGGAAGTTGAGGATGGAGGATAAGCAATGAGGAGAGTTGAAATATGCGGGGGGAAGTCCAAACTGTCATAAAGTTTATCCAAAAGAGAGGAATAAAACTGGATTCCTGACAAATTCTGACATATTGATTGATTGGTGGGTTCTAAAGAAAGTAGAATGACAGGAAAGAGGAGCATGATGGACAGCATATGTGCTCCTGGGTCTGGTTGTTCAAAGTCTGATCAGCGCTAATCCTTGGTTAACTCTTAGAAAACCTATAGAGTTAGCTCTGGATTACTGGATTAACGTGAATTGGGCTTTGAACAACCCGGCCCTGGGCACAAATACTAAACAGTTAAACCCTAGCAAAGATGCAATGGGATACCTGTGGAAAATAAAAACACAGGAAACCCAAACCCACCTATTAGCACTATCATCAAGGGTTCTTTCGAGCCACTGTAAAGCAGCTGTTTGTTGTGTGTTGCCAGTCAACACCATGAGATGTCTTGCCAGGCTACAACAYCTTTCACTTCTCATTGGATTGCGTTTGTACGGCATAGCACTAGAACCTGTTGAAAGAAGCTTTAACACTGAATTGACCAGAAACTCACTTCCAGTTTGTACTGCTTGCCACATTTTGATGTGCTAATAGAATAATTTATACTAACAAATTGTTTCTTCAAATGTAAAAATAATAAGAAGCATGAACTGTCTTTGCTGTAAAGAATAAAAAAAAATGATTTTTTGGAGATTTTAGCAGGCATTGAACATAGAAAGCACTGCACAGCTGTTCTTTCCCATTATAGAGCGGATTTCGTATGAGTGGGAAACGGACGGTACTGTACTGTAACCGTAATCGTACTGTAACCAAATTCTAGTGACCCATTGGTTCACCAAAATTGTGAAGGCCAGGTCCAGTAACTGTGCGGTAACCGTGCGGTAACGGTGTCGCACTCATACGAAATCCGCTCTATTTTTTGCAAGATAAGTTTGTGTTTAAATTACCTATTTGGTCTTTCTCAAATGGCTCTTCAATTTCCTTTAGGTTGGCAAGAAGCCTAATATCCGTGCAAATCTTAAAATAAAAAATAAATGACAAATTTCATTTAAAAATTCTCAWCATACAAAAAATTTAGAACATTTGCACTATTTCATTATGACATCACATCAAAACATTATTGCTTTAACGCTAAGGATTATGGTCACCAGAGGGRATCAGAGTGACTGCATATCAAATATAATGTACATGAGCAATCATTTAATAAATTACATGTTATGCACAGACCAATTAAACATGATACAATACAGTTCTTCTTTTGAAGAAAATATAAATTCCACTGTTTTTTGAGTATCTGTTCTCTTATGTGATGTCATAACGCAATAGGGAAAAATTTGCTTCCTCTAATAATTCCAGGCATCTCTAGGCATTCCTGTACAAAGAGCATTAGCCTGCGTGCATCCATTCCCACCCCTCCYCCCTATGGGGAAAAATGGTAAGAAATTTTCTTTTAAGAGGGGGAGGGGTGGAGACAGATGTAYACAGGCTAAAAAGCATTACCTTGTGAACTGATGCTCCAAGGCTGCTGAGTGCAGACAGACAGTCCAGATCCACTTTACGGCTRTAYGTCTGTCCAGTCACTACATATGCTGATTTGAAGCCAGCCATTTCTGTYACAAGAGCATCCAGCTTTTCAATCTAAAAAAATTGTATATTATCAGTGAATCATCAAATAATAATAATAATGATCGACTGAGCTGGATCTGTATGGGCATCACTTCTACTTTACTTCCAGAGGTGGATCTAGGATTTTTGAAAAAAAGGGAGAGGAGAGAAGTTAGAAGAGGGAAGATGCACAGGAAGCCCAAGCTGTGATCTATAACTTTTGTAAAACATAGATGCAATATGTAATTATAATGCTTTGTAAGAGGGTTTGGGGTATGATCTATAATAACTGTTTTCAATTACGATGTCGCAGTAATGTCTTTATAAAAAAGGATTCTTTTTAGCCAACAGRGTTGCATAAGAATGCCACCCATGCTCCTCCCATGGATCTGCCCCAGACTACAATACTCCATTTTCGAATTCAAAGAGAACAATCGCTGCTTTATTTSCCAACAGATTCTCTTGCGCAAAGACCCTAAAAACAGTAAACTAAAGAAAGTTGAGAAAATGTTGTCAAACAAAACAGCTGCARTTWTTCGCCTTGGATTCGAAAATGGATTATTATATACCTTGTCATGATCTCCATCAAACAAACTAAGAAAGCTTGCTTGAGTCCCAGTGGTTCCTTTGACACCTCTGAACCTCAAATCATCCTTTGCTCGTTGGATGTTTCTGAGATCCATTAGAAGGTCTGAAATCCATAGACAAGCTCTCTTGCCAACAGTGGTCAGCTGTGCAGGTCTGGTCAAAACATAAAGACATTAACATGATATTGTGGCTAATAAAATGAAACCAAAATAACAGATGTGAAGGTAGTACTTTTATAAATGAAATGATCAACAAAGGGATGGTTGATTGGATTGTGTAAATTAATGGATGGCTAAATGGATGAATAATACATAAACGAAACAAATGAACAAACGCATTAATTTGACTTTTATAAAGAAAGAAAACAAATACTAGATGAATTAGAAATTAGAAATTTAAACCCCACTTGATATTTTATCAGGGTTGACTAAATGGAAAAATGAATGCATGCACACATGTAAATGGCAAGTGAATGAATTGAATAAATAAACACATTTAATTTGATTTTTATAAAGAAAATGATCAACAAATTGATGTGTGGATGCCTGGGTGGGTGACTGAATGGATAAATGAATGAATGAACAAAAGGAAAAAATGAAATGAAAAAAACAATTACTGGTAGTGAGTAAATCCAAGTGTTGGTAAGTCTTTGTACTGATCTGCAAACTTTGAAAGTCTCTGGATACAACGAGCAACCTGATAACAAAGCAAAAACATTAAGGACACATCAGTATTACATGTATAAAGCATGCTTTAGATCAAACACTGCTTTCAATAGTCTTCTTCACAGTTTTGTTTGCCATCTTGAAAGGTAATTAATTTTGCCTTAGCCTCAGAGCGAGACGACCATTGAGTGTGCAATGATAGAAACCTTCTTTCACCTCAACAGCTGTCTCGCTTCAATGTAAAGACACGGCTACCTTTCAAGATGGTGCATGTAACCACAAAGGAGACTATTCGCACTTACTTTTGGAAGAATTATACTGAATGCATCTCTTAAAACAATCAGATCCTAAATACAAAAAAAGCAATATAAATTAACTCTAGACAATAGAATACAAACCAGAAATAAATAAAGCATCTAGTAAGTTACATAAATGTTTAAGCACATTAAAGAACATTTCATGACTGCAAGTGCAAAGCTATAAATCATGGCAAGGACAGCATAAGACACCACACGGTCACACAAGCTTCCCTGGCAGTGAGGTCAAATGAAAATAGTGATTCAAGAACACATCACAGTCATGGCCCTGGAAGTGCCCTGTTTTTTTTTCCACAGCCATATAACAGGTTTTAATCTTACATAATCATAATATTTTAGTACCAACAAAACACAGGGTTTGTGCTACATTTCTTGTAACAAAATTCCAGTGTTTTCAATGAACTACACTGTACATGTATGAAACCATGAACACACACACACACAAAACTTTAAAGGCATCTGATCAGTTAAGCCATGTTGCATATTATAGCAAGTGTTCTGTTCCAGTGCAATAACCTACATAATTTTTATGTATTTTCCCAACAAAAATAGAATAGCTTTTTCATGATATATCAAATAAGTAAAAATCAAATGACAAACAAGACATACAGTGTTGTCCCCAACATAGCAAGATGTAGCACCCAAGTGAATGATGGGAGCAGCACTTGGGCAGCAGACACCAAACGTGTGAACATGAGCCATCACATCATGTCGTCTTTTCTTCTCTTCAGCAGCTGCCAAACTGTAGTCTATATTGGTGAGGTTTGCCTCCATTTCTGATATCTGGCTTTCCTTGATATCTAAACCTAACTCCTGGAGAGAGAACAGATTAGACTCTTCAACATAGAGTCCTCAAATGTGATAGTATGATTCCTCAAGTGTGGCACTTTAGTAGCAATGGACAATCCCTTGGATCCGTCCTTATATTGTATTCACCAGCTTGACATTGTTTTTGTACTCTAAGGGACTGAAAATTTGAACTTTGACATGTGGAGAGAGAAAAGAAACATGTCATCGAAGGGAGCTCATTAGATTTGGTGCATGCAAGTTTGCTGTTGTTGTTGTTGTTGCAACTTGAATTCTTGATAAATCACTTCTCAATTCTCTGATAGATATTTTTTCACCTTCTTTTGCAACATTTTTTCTCCCTTGTAATAGTGCTGATTTTTTTTTCCATTTGTGCTGCGCAAATTTTTTTAAATTCAATTTCTAAATCAACCCCTCTCCTCAAAAGCCAAGTAATAAGCCACTATGGCAGATGCAAAGTCCAGAAAATCTCAAATCATTTTTGACAGGTCAAACTAATATATTTAACTGGATTTTTGGTCAGCCTTTATAGTTAGGCGGATAGGTGAAGAATTTAGGTCGAATTGTTCACTTTCAGGTTAAGATCATGGCACTCTGTCAAAAGATGTCTTTGAATGCCAGGAATCGATTCTGATATTGTGCCAACGCAAAAATCGATGCAGTCGGCAATTACGGGGATTTTTCAAAATGGCGGCCATTTTGAACCGGAAGTAAAATTTCAAATGGTAATAAATCAATCACAATACATGTTTAAATGATTAAACACAGACAGTTGCTGAGTTTTAATTATGTTAAGAGATTCTGATATAGTTTAAGGACAAAAAAGAATTATTTTCTCTAATTAAGGGGATTTTTTAAATAGCGGCCATTTTAAACCGGAAGTAGAATTCGCATAATAAAGATTGGGCGTTTTTGACCACCAAAGCTGTAAGATGTTTGTTTTAGAAAAAGGACATGCACACTTTAATTTTAATTACTAAATGATTTTAAAATAGGCTTTAAAGACGAAGTTATAAAATTGTTTGGGATTCTGCAAAATAGGAAATGCTCGCTGTCCATTTATTATGACAAAGGACTATGAATATTAAAACTCTTTATGACAAAACCCACATACAATAATCTTGTTTTAGGGAAGTAAGGGTNGATGTTGCCAAGTCGTGTAGAGAGCTTATTAAAAGCTGTTCTTGAAGTCATTCATGCTCTAAATCCGACCTTGGCTGTACATCTTACAACTTTGGTGGTCAAAAACGCCTAATCTTTATTATGCAAATTTTACTTCCGGTTTAAAATGGCCGCTATTCAAAAAATCCCCTTAATTAGAGAAAATAGTTCTTTTTTGTCCTTAAACTATATCAGAATCTCTTAACATAATTAAAACTCAGCAACTGTCTGTGTTTAATCATTTAAACATGTATTGTGATTGATTTATTACCATTTGAAATTTTACTTCCGGTTCAAAATGGCCGCCATTTTGAAAAATCCCCGTAATTGCCGACTGCATCGATTTTTGCGTTGGCACAATATCAGAATCGATTCCTGGCATTCAAAGACATCTTTTGACAGAGTGTCATGATTTTAACCTGAAAGTGAACAATTTCCTCACCTATCCGCCTAACTATTATCCTAGCTTAGCTTGCTGTCATACGTTTGTTAGGAATAAGAATAGGAATAAGAATAGGAATAAAAATGGGAGTAAAAATAGGAATAAAATGGGAATGAGAAGAAACCCAAGTAATGTCATTAGTATACAGTAATACAAGTTTTAAAACGGAGCGAACGTGACTTGAGCAATATGTCAAGTGTGCCACATACTGTGACATGATCACCGCGCACCCTCCATGCAAATTACAACATCCAACTGTTACTTCAAATAATATAAAAATACTGCTAATTAATGAAAATAAAAATCACAATTGAAGAAACTACTCATATATCTTCTTCATTTTAAACTGGATAAACATTAATATAAGYTAAAACTCAACAACAAGAACGGTAAATTCTCTGAAGTAGACCACGTGACATTTCTCGTGCTGGAAAAACCATCAGAATTCTATTACCTTTTCAGCTTTTGCAAGGAAAAGCCATAGTTTTCTCCAAGTAGAAAACTTCTTATCCTCAGAAAAGTTATAAGMCATTTCGGGGCTGGCATAACGACTAGTGAGAGGACTGCGATACTTTGCGTGAACCTCATCCTTTGCCGCCATTTTGAAAGCAAATGAGCCTGCGATTAAAAAGAGCAGTTGATAAACAAGCAAATATTGTATGTCAGCGGWTAATTTTATGAGTTTAAAAAATGGCGGATTTGGAGGTGTCAAAAGTTTATCCTTGCTTTCTTCTGTTTTCTTCAGTTTTCTTTGTATTTCTTTGTCTTGGCGGTATTGGATATTCGTATAAAACCTCTGAAGTAAGTATAGGAGTACATTTATGGTCAATCAATGATTGCTAGGGCTGGGATCTCTTCGCAGAGAGCTATTAAACGGGGATCCCAGCAAAATGGTGGGAACTAGCGGTAAACTAGTGTGAGCTGCGTCGGTGTTTCTAAAGAAACAGTTATGTGAAAAGATAAATTTAACACCGTAAAAAAGTATGTGGAAAAACTTACTGACGTTTCGGATGTTAATCCTTCGTCGGAGTAATTTGCTTTACTCCGACGAAGGATTAACATCCGAAACGTCAGTAAGTTTTTCCACATACTTTTTTACGGTGTTAAATTTATCTTTTCACATAACTGATCCGAGCAAAGTTGGGTTGAGATTTCTCTATGCGAGGAAAGTGGGATTTCAGGCACTTAGGCCAGAGTGCTGTCAAGACAGCAATTTGAATAGAAAAGGATTGGTATTGGGGTATGAGCAAGCGAAATACAGCCATTTAGCTCAATCTGCGGATTCTATAAGACTTATATTCGAAACAGCATAGATCACAGGCCATCATAGCACTGATACCTCACAACAAGGCTTTATGCTCCCCTCCTCCATCTTAGTGTATGGTAGAGATAGCATTGACTTGAGAGAAATCACAGATATAGTGCAGTAGTAACTTGATCCTAGAAGCAGGGGGGATCAAAACTAGAGAGATAGGGGCATACATCCCCAAAAAAGCTTGAAATTGAGATTCTGAGAAATGTTTTTCCAACATTTTGAGGGATTTTTGACGACAAGTATTCAGCAAAATGGGGGAAGAGACTGTGACCCTTTTGGCTTTCCCTAAATCCACCACTGGATCCAGTTTTCCAGTTTTAAAGAATCACAACCAATCGCAGTACTTTGCAAGCAGCAGCACCATTTTAGGTGGGCACAAAAATGGCAGATTCGTAGGATTTCTTTAAGTCCATTATTGTACTTTTCGTGTAAAGCTAAAGGTCACGCAGAACAACACAGAACAACTTTAGTCACGAGAAGAGAGAGCCCTAGGGACGAGGTTTACTAGTAGGTTTGATATCCCGTATGTAAACAATAACACGAGCAAGCGCTGTATTGTGGTTGGTTGGTTGAAACCCACAAAAAATTTAATGTTATCCCAGAAAACCAGACCGTTTTCTCAAAAACCCGTACATTCTAAAACTTGTAGCACTACTGCCCTGCAGTGCAATATATCATGAAAATGAATATAAAATCTGCTCTGTACATCTGTAAATGAATAATGTGTTTTTACAATAGGATTTCCCTGAGTGCTGTCTTCGTCAGTATTCGCCATGCTATATGGGACTAGTTTTACCAATGACTATTCCAGTGTTTGTTGTTGTTATGTACATAAATTGGATGGGACTAAAGCTGTTTCAGCACAACTGAGATATAAGGATTGATAAATGCTGACAGTTGGGATTACTGTGGATGCTGTTCACAGCTTTTTTGGTCTCTGGTCATTCTAGTAGACTAAATTCTTGGAATTAAATTGGTAAGTTTTTTTTTAACATATTCTTGTTTGCAGTGCTATCACATAGATCTTTACAGCTATCAATCAACTAATGTAATTTGGTACTAACTACTAGTTTGAAATGATTCTGATTGAGGGTAGTTAATGACTAATTGCATGTTGTGAATTTTGTCTGTGAGCTAATTGCAGAAATTTTCTTTTTCTATTTCACATTATGGATGAAATACTTTCACTTTCAACCTTATTAATGATTTTTTTTGATTTTTCAACTCAGGGAAAAAATAAGGTGGTGATATATGAAATATCAGTCAACCATTTTAAAACCAGTTTAACCAGTTTCCTAGCGGGATGTAGAGGTTTGACAATCTAGTTGTTCAACTAAAGGATTATTTCTGATGACTTACCTGGCTGGATGAATATATACAGCAACATGTACATACGTATAATTTATTCCAAATTTAAAAAAAGTTGTTGTATAAAATAGAAAAATAAATAAGAATTAGGCTCCTTGTGTTTATCTAACTCTTATCAAAAAGCTTTAGGTTGAAGGGCTGAACTCACCGGTGCTTTTATTAAGGGGACCCACCACCGCCACCACCACCACACCCCTTCAAATATTTCCACATCAATTTATCATTTCCCCAAGCATACATTGAATGATAGTACACGGTCTATTGGACCATTGTTTCTTTATTTTGAAAGGATAAGTGGGTTACACAAGGCACAAAAAACATTCCAGCTTGCTTTTGACAAAGGGGTACTTACAAAAGAACCCCAAGATATCATCAAACAATATTAAAAGAAAGTGGTGATAATAATTCTGATGAAATAAATGATGGTGATGATCATAACAGTTCTGATTGTGAAGAAATGTTTAATGTCCGATAATGAGGACTGGACGGGGTTTCAAGTTCGCGCAATTAATAGTTCCAGTCCAAGGCATTAGCCTCGGACTGGAACTAATTGCAAGGACTTGAATTGGAGGACTTTGAACGACTTCTCATACTCATTAATTATTCGGGAGGGGAAAAAAGCGAAGGAATTACATATAACTGAAATATATTGATTTATTGCATCTCCACCAATTAAAAGGTTTTCAGTTTTCATAATTTTGAATAACTTTGTACCGTTTGTTGTTTTGCAATTCCCGAACGGCTAAGTTCTGAAACAAAAGCTTTTCAAATTGTCTTTGTCTGCTATTCATTGCATTCCTAATGAGCCTAATTCATAAGTTTTATAAGTATGTTATCTTCCAAGGAATCGCATCAGAAGTTACTTGGTGGTGTAATGGTATAAGATGGCCCATATAGACTGGACGGTTCGGGATCGTTTCGTGAGGGAGTCATTTATCAAAGAACTTTTTTCACTAAATTAATTCTATATTAAATCAATTATTTCTAATACTTTGATTATCATTAGCTAGTAGAAGTTAGAAAAAGCTAGAAGTAACTGGAAACAAGGTAGAAGTAACTGGAAATAAGGTAGAAGGAAGTGGAAACAAGTTGGAAGTAACTGGAAATAAGATAGAATACAAGGTAGGAGTACTTCATCTGGTATCCAGTTACTGCACGTGGTACAAATTATAATTAGGGATTGGCTGGATACCTCATGAATAATTAATGAGTATGAGAATGCTGATGCTAAAAAGAGTGATCCATACTTTTGTACTTTATTTGTGATTTTAGAAATTTTTTTTGACTGATGATGTCATGTGCAAACTGAAAATATGAAATATGGCAGAGGGGGTCAGAATTATTGCAAACAGCTGTATATATTTATATATACAGGCTTTTGCAAAAATTATGCGAATTGTCTAAATATCATAATATCCATATCCACATATTGTCCGGAACACGCGGGTTTGCTAGAATAATTCATTGTTGACATCGAGAAAATGTTCAGAACTACAGATAAGTCCGTCGCCAAAAAAAAACTAAACAACAAAGACAAGGGACTAAGGGCATCGCGCGGGATCATGCACTTGATATTATGATGTATAGTTTAAAACACGAGAGAGTGTTTTATCAGGTATAAAGATTCGAGCCGAAGGCGAGAATCTTTATACCTGATAAAACACGACCTCGAGTGTTTTAAACGGCTTAAAAAACTCCAACACTAATTTGAAACTCAAATCCGTTAAAATTCTTGGAGAAATTGCCGTACAAATATGTTCTGAGATAAATGGGGCAAACTGATCATGCGCGAATGACTTTACAAAGCACTCTTGTCATCCCACATTGAATACGCATAAAGTAAAATAGAAGCGCTCTTGGCTGTTCACTGAAATCGGTTGACATCCTGCATTGGTCAATGATCAGGTTTCAAACCTGAGACCTTTGCTAGGGTCATGGACCTTTATATCTGATAAAGGTCACCCTTATTAGTATTCTTTATATAAAGAATACTAATAAGGAGTGTTTTATCAGATATAAAGGTCCATGCATGTGACCAAATTGGCTCATTCTATTGGCCTAGTATCTCATTAATTATGTATGAGTTTTTTAAATTTAGATATTTCAACAATTCTCATAATTTTTGCAAAAGGCTGTATACAAAATAATATATAAAATAAAAGATTTCAGAACAAACTACTGTTTTTCCACAAATGTAATTTTCACTACAAAAATGTAGCTTCATGCAATCACCTTTTCGAACCTCAACTAAGATGAGAGTTCTTATATTGCAGATCAGAAGAAATGCTCCTTCTGCAATGCACTTTTTTCATTTCAGATTGTAATTTATGCATGTCAATAAATTATTTCAACTGATTAATAAATAAAGTCTCTGTCTATAAAATAGGAGTGTGTGCATTTTTTCCAGCATCACCTGCATAAGATAATTGTTTTCATTGTTGGATTGTTACCATCTTGATCACTTCTTAATTCATTCTTTGACAAGTTCAACATGAAGTTGAGGTTTTCATCTTTGATGGCAACTTTCAGGTATGATATACCTTCAATAGTTACTTTATTATTGGATAAGTCCAATTTCTTGAGATGGCAGTTCTCATGTTTGAGTGCATCAATCAAGTTCTGTACACATTGCTTGTTTATTATTATTTCATTATTGGACAAGTCCAAATTGATGAGATGGCAATTTTTATGTTTGAGTGTATTAGCAATGTGTGATACACCTTTTTGAGTTATTCTATTGGTCGCCAACTTCAACTTCTTAAGATCATTTAAATTACATTCTAGGGCATTACTCAGGTATTGAACACCTTGATCTGTTATTTTATTTAAGGACAAGTTCAAATCGGTGAAATGTTGTCTTTCACCTCTGAGTGCACCAGTCACACACAGTTCTTCTCGGCAGGCTTCATATGCATAATGTTTGTTTTTATTATGTTCACTGAAAATCTTGACAAGCTCTGAACAACCATGATCACATACTTTATTCGCAGAAATCGTAAGTGATTTGATCTTTGTACAGTGCCTGAAAACACACACAATTGCTGTACAATCAAGAGGTGTCACTCCAGTGCTGTACAAATTTATGCAACCTCTTAATTGTTCACAGGATTCAAGTCGTGATGCAGCTCTTGCAGCAACGTCTTCATTCTTTAGTTCATGAAGGCATTTGAGCATAAGTAAACCTAAATGTCTATTACCATTGATCAAAGATTCACAAAGTATGCTTTCAAAGTACTTGGAAACTTCAATAGCATGTTCTTTTTGCAATAATCCTGCTATAAATTGAATCACAAGATGCCAGCTATCATCTGCTACTCTATTTTTGATAACATCAGCAACTTCACTTAAGTCACCTTCAAGAGCTGTTCTAGCAATTTTTCTTGCAGCAACAAACTCGTGCAAAGTCGAGTGGATGAAAAAGTACTCTGAAGCCGGAAGTAATCCAGGTTCAGGAATTTCTTTGCCTGGCATACAGTGTAGTAAACCACAGTCTTCTAGTCCTAGTCTTATAACCTCTGCTTCTTTAAAAGTCAATTGCTTCTTTTGAAGTCCTTCATTTGCTAGCTGTCCCAATTTTGATAGTACCTGGTCCTCAAATGTGCCAGAAAATGGTCTCTTATAGACATTAGGGGACACCTTTTGATATCTTGGACTGATTTGAAACACCAAGTCCATCAGTACTCGATTGTAAATAACGGTGGTGGGTAGAGCAAAAGTGTTTAATCTGCCATTATTTTTGTGGTCTTCTAAGAAGGAACAGACAATCCAGCACATGACTGGAATGTAACAGAGATACAAAAGGTTGACATTACTTTTTATGTACTGCCAAATTTCTCTTTGTGTGGATGTATCTTTGCAAAACTTGTGGATGTATGATTTGACTTTTCTTTTATCAAAACCCCAAATTTCAGCTTTCCTGTCAAATTGCTCTGTCCCTGAGATATGTTCAAGGGAGTCCACAGCATCCAGTCTAGAAGTTGTCAAAATTGTCGCTTCAGGGAGTAATTTCTTCTTGATAAGTTTTACATAAAAAGCATTCATTGGAATTCTATCGCTTAATTCATTTGATCCACTGTATTCTGACTCGACTTCCATCAAGTGTTGAAGTTCTTTATATTGACCTTCACCTAAGCCAATATCGAAGATAAACAAAATCGATTGGGGATGGTCCTGGATTTGTTGTAAAACAGCTGAGTCTATCGTAATATTCATGGGATATTCCGCTTTTTTAAGAAAACTCTCGAAAGATATCCTTCTTGAGTCTTTCTTGAGACTTAATTTGAATAGAAAAACAATCTCAAATTGCTTCAATTTGTTCTTGGCCCAATCGCGAACGATTTTTGTACACAATAACGTTTTTCCGATTCCTGGGCGACCAACAATAAGAATATTACGATAATAAGATTTCTCGTCTGCAGAATTAAACAGCTGGTTTGTGTTTTCTATTCCAACAAAATCTTTAGGTGGCATGTAAATTTTTAAAAGTTCCTTCCTTTCTTGAGTCATGTCCAAGTCATGCGTGACCAGACCGATATGCACAATAGGATGTTCAAAAACATCGTCTACTTTTCTCTTTGCACTAATTCTCGATTTATCTGAGGTTTTTAACAATTCAAGATACTCTGTCCCCTTCAATGTCCTCTTCTTTGATCGACTGAGGTCTCTTTCCTTAAAAGAAATTGTTATATTTCTAAAAAGATGCATTTGGTAAAATCTCGAATCTCCCATGAAGGTTCTATCACAACAAGCTCTTCCTATAAGATACAAAACTTCGAATAACACCAGGACTACAATTAATATATGCAGAAAAACTGCAGAACCCTTTGTCCAATTAGTTCTAACTTTAGCAAATGTGTTCTCGCAATCTATAACTGCCGGTGAAGAAGAATTCCATTGGCACCGAGATGCCGGTGGAAAATTCCAATCAAGTCCTGTCTTTTGTGGTAATAATATGAATACTAATACAGAAAGTACACCAACCACAATACGTAGAACTAACTGAGAGACATATGACCCAAAAATGTAGCAAGTAATGACTGGATTAGCTTGATTTCGAGTCAGAAGGTCGCGAGTTTCTTGTTGATCAGGCTCGTCTTCATTTGGTGATTCAGTTAGCGTGCATTCTTGTTCTTCTCTTTCGATTTGTTTCACTCGAGATATTACAATGCAAGAATAAATGACACAAATAACTTCTAAAATAAAAAAAGACGCTAAGGCCACCATTGCATAGACAAGTGGCGGTATGTCAGGATTGTATTTCTCCTTGTACTGATTTAAACATCTCGTCGTCAAGTACTTCTTATTCGCGTGAACACCATGGCTGTTGCAATGAAATTGGCGATTTTCAGCCAATCTAATACTGGTTATAATAACAAGAAGAATCACCTCAAAGAACAAAGTTACAAATAAAGCAACGATGTATCCATACCAGCTGAATGTTCTTCGGCGAAAAAGACTTATAAACAGAGAACACGAAGTCATAGCTTCATAGGTCGACAACACCCATGTAACGACGGGTTACTTGCAATGGACTCTCTATGGATACTTCCCACAATTCCGCGCACTGCGCGCATTAAGAGCCGCTTTGCGCAAAAACCAGACAAATGTTTGGCAAGGCTCGAAAAATCAAATCTATTCATATTTTGTATATAGATAAGGTATGATTTGGTATAGTAACAATCGCTGTGCAATTGGTTTTTGAAAATTAAATATTTCATTTTTCGCAAGAAAATTGCTAAACAATGTCACATAGACTACTAAAAATAGCTCTCAAATTAGCCAAACTTCATACCGAGTTCATGTAAACTAGACCCTGACAGCAGGGTGTACTCGTGCCCTAAAAGTGTTGAAAAGTAGTGCTGACTATATTCAGTACTCTTTCAAATTGAGCTCATTTACTAACACCGTACATTTAAAACTTTTCACATCACGAAAGTGATTTGAAAGTAACTCCTTGTTGATTACTTTTCATGCAATATTAGCTTTTGAAGGAACTAGATGACAAATCTACACGGTAAACATCACGCAAGGAATGCAGACGTGACTTAAATCGTTCACTCTGGTAGTCTTTATGTGAAACAAAGTAAAAATATGGATAGACTTATTCTATTGAAGTGATTTAAAGGTTAAGTATTAAGAGCCGTTTTCGCACAAAAATCAGACATATTTTGGCAAGGATCGAAAAATCAAATCTATTCATATTTTGTTTATTGATAAGGTATGATTAGGTAACAATCGCTGTGTAATTGGTTTTTGAAAATATTTCATTTTTCGCAAGAAAATCGCTAACAATGTCACATTAACTGAGCCTTTGCGTAACAAAGGTTTGATGGCTAAAAATAGCACTCAAAATAGACAAACTTTCTACCGAGCTTGTGTGAAATGTAAAATAGTAATTTTAAAAATTCAAATTGTGGCTATCTAAGTAACTATTTCTTATTTATTCCGTTGATTTTCAGAGCATTTAATTAAAGAAGAAACTTTTTTGGAACTCTTTTGGAGTGTTTACATATGTAGTTGTATATGCAAATTAGCACCTAGGAAAAAAAGATCATTTTTGTGGCTAGTGCCTCGGAACGAGGCCACAGTATGCTATCGCCTTGTAAGTGCGTGTTGCTGTAATTCGGGATAACTCCGTGATTGGCTCGCTTTTACTTCGGTACAGTTTCGTTATTTATTGGATACATTCGTTTTTTACATGATAGTTGGACTCCTTGTGTAATTACGTCATTATCTGTGATGACGTCACAACTAATCCTACCTTCCCTTCCCCTCACAAGTATGTTCGACTTACCCAAACCACCCCTCTCTCGCTACCCTCTTGTTCGCGTGGAGACATCTCGCTATCCCGATACTCATTCGGGCGCGCATACAATATATACAAGAAAATGAACGCCTTTTCGTCCATGTGGGATGTTATGTAGAATCATTTTTCTTTCTATTAAGAACTCTACTTAGTCTATACATTATCAAAATACATTCTTCGATAATATTCACTTGATGAGTATGATTATAAATTGTACTAATTATTTAAATTTCGAGTTTTTATATAAACTAGACAATCAAAGACCCAAAATATATGGTCATATATGGAATATGAATTAATTAAATATGGATTAATTTTTGTACTTTTATTGACTCTCCATTATTATCATCGTTGACAAAACAAAATTCAAAGTATTTTCGAGTGCATAGCAGTTATCAAAGGTTAATTTATGTTGAAAAATGTATCGCAATCGTGCATTTCAAGCTAACCAAAAATTACGATAGCTGAAAAATTATTGTAACAATGATTACTCAAAAGCCTTGCTAAATCACATCACCGTTTCATAAGTAGAGAATACTCTCAAAACAAATATTAGAATTCAAAGACTCACTAGATGAAAAACAAACCATTGTTTGACTCAGATGATACTTTATCCTGCTATGGCGGCTTTCTTGTTGACCGCAATCGACTATTGTTCTAGGTTACAAGTCGGTTCTTTTGCTGGTTTTCTTGACTTCAGGTGCATATTATTTCTTCGTTTCAGCATCCATGCAGGTTTTCATGTTAGTTGTTGACTAGACTTATACTTGTAATGAGACCCTGATTTCAGGGTTGACTCGTGCCTTGACAATGGGTTGGCAAGAGTCTTTGAGTGAATAATATTGAACTATGAACAGCAAAAAAATTAAAAGATGTAGTTGCCATGCAACCAATTTCATCTATGAAGGTGCATACATTTTTAATAAACTTACAACAAGATCAGATGGTTGTAAGACTTGCAATTGACCATGGTTATTTACCAAAACAACACTTTCAAGACCTCTCATGGCATTATTGCAGTTAGTTTAGTCATAACTATACCAACATTCTCATTTTCTATTCAACTTGAAATGCTAGATTGCAGCATGTTCCTTTGTGTGGACACATAATGAAATTCTTCAAGATGGCCAATATTGATTTCACTAGAAATTATCCTCTACACACGTTGGGCTAATAAGTGATTGCAGGTGCAAATCCTATTGAAAGTAATATTCAATGCATCTGCTACTGCATTTGTAATCAGTGCATCAGCTCAATATCTTGAAGAGACATTGTTACTCAAATTTTGACCATGAATTTTCAGTGTTACTCTCAATAAACCTCTTTGGATTATGTACAGGGTTTGGCTCAATATCACCTTAAAAAACTCATACATAATTAATGAGCTACTATAGGCCAATTAGCCGATAACAAAACGAGCAGTGGCCTGGGACTTCAAAAATTTTGAAAGTGCTACAATCTTACAGAAATCTGTTGTTGATAGATAAAGCACATATAAATTAGCTAAACTTTAAAGTTTGAGCAAAAGTTTAAGTCATTAGAATTGGGAATATAATTTTTCAAAAATTTCGAAAATTACAAAGAATGTATGTTTGGCTGGACGCTTTGGCTGGACACCATACATTTCTTTGTAATTTTGGCATGGTTTGAATGTCCGTAACTTTATTGCTATAAGTTCAAACATCATGAAACTTAKTCMGTAAGCCTTTTRTAWGGTGCTCTTTCACATGATGGGGTTATTCTCTCTGGAACCATTATTTAATTAGATTTGGAAGTTCGTACCCAGTCCCTTTTTCGTTTTGTTATCGGCCAATAGAATGAGCCTTCGGCTCGAATCTTTATACCTGATAAAACACTCTCTCTCGTTTTTTAAACTATACTTAAAGCATTACTAGTTGCCTCGTGGATAAACAATATGTTTGACAGAAGTAAAAAACAACAACTCAATATAAAAATAGACAAATCCAACATTGGTATTTATTTCATTACTTAAGACCTTGATTTCCACTACTGCATTTAATAAAATAACATTTACTTTCTGTATATTAAATGAGAATGACACCTTCATTGATTTGTAATATCTTATAATATATTTCGCTTGTTTTTATTTCGTAGTTACTAAAAAGAGGAATGAGCTAAAATGAGCTAAAATGAGCTAAAATGACCTAAAATGACCTACAATAAACAACATTTAGTGGAAGAAATGGTGATATTTTGTTTTATCGTACTTTTGGACACAACAAAACCTGCTCAAACTGTCTCAAAATGTCTGTTAAATAAGAAGCTTTTATAACTTTGAATACCCAACTCAAATATAGCCTGCGTCGCATCCATCTACTCAACAGGTGCATTAAAGAAATCTAGTTGACTATAGTCAATAATATAAATTATTCTTTGCTTTGCTTTGATATTAATAAAGTAAAAATGTTTTTTGGTCTCCCTGTGTATTGCATATATTCTAAAATAAATCTATCCTTAGCCAATAATTAACACTTACTTCATATGTCCTTCTCCATGTTAAAATGGATCTTCAGAATTTTACACTACAAACTGCTAGCTGCCATCTTGTAAAAGTGAAGAATGTGGACTTGGAACGGTTTTTTAGTCGGACTACCCGCAGGGAGCCCGACTTTAGTTTTACCTTTTTATCTATCTATTTTTGTGTGTCATGTCGCGTTTAGTCACCGGAAGTTCAAATAATTGTAAGACTTCCAGAAGTTATCAAACATCTCTAATTCGGGGTTCCTGTGTAATTACGTCACCATGACGTCATATATTGTATTGCATCATCATCTTTTTATCTTAACGTCATATCCTTTGGCCCTACACTGCAGTGTTTCATTATAATCTTCTATATTTTGCTTGATTTATATACTATTATTTTGGCTTACTGAGAACCATGTGGGAAGTACTCCTCTGATTGAAAATTACAAGCATGCTCAGAGTAGTAAAACGTCCATCCAATGATACATTGGATTTAGTAGGGCACTGGTAGCCCAGAGTTAAATAAACCATAATAATCAGGCAATCACGTGCACACCTAAGAAGTAATAATTTAATAAATGTCATGACACATCATGTGTGACGCAATGACACAGGGATCCCAGTTGGAGTTGTCTGATTTCCCGTTAGAAAGAATATCACGACATGAAAGTTGAGGATTGGACTTCCGGTGTTCCAAACGCGACATGATACACAGATTGACAAAACTTAGGTAAAACTAAAGTCGGCCTAGCCTATGGCATTAGTTATCCAGTGTTATAACAACGTTTGCTTCAAGGGCACTGTCCACAATAGCTAGCAGATAACAGTCAAAAGACATGAAGCATCAATTTTTTTATCATTCGATTCTTGGTCAAATTAACACAACATTGTTGAAATCAAATTTTAATTCAAACCTTGAAATTTGATTGGATTGTCGATTGGATTTTTTTTGCTGGGCTTTTGCAATTTCCACAACTTGATGTTGTCTGTTACTTTGGTTGGATCTGTTCCTTCTTGTGAGAAAGTTTGATGGTCCAAAAAGGTAGAAATGCTGTGTCATTTTCTTAACAGAGTTTGTTGATATTCGTAAACTACATGTTTTCAGATTAACCCTAGTTATATTGCGCTATTATTTCCTCTTTAAGGGCATTTGGCATGGTACACCCTGAATGATAAAAACAACTGTATGTGTTTTGATCCACCATATTGGATGCTGTCAATTATCGTTAATTCGTGTGGGTTTCCTGTTTAGTCCATTATCCAATCAGAGTTCGAGATTTAAATTTAATTTTGCATAAATCAACTGAAGTTTAAACATGAAAAATAAAATGAAAATTAACAATAATGAACTGAATAATGAAGTCTTTGGGGGTCGCGCTTCATTTTGACAATCACTTCTGTAAGATGCAAAGCAGAATGTTCTTATCAAAATGTACTTTTGACTATATTTTGTCACTTTGTGATTCATGCACAAATTTTATCATTTAAGGGATGTCATCATTTGAATTTTTAACAACTTTTTATACGTTGAGGAAGTCTTTCCAGTTTTTCAAAGGCTAGAAAGAAAAAAAATTGCACATCAGTAATCTGGCAGAACATGAATTTGCAAAATTGTATGACAATGTGTCTGAATCTATCCATTTGATTAGTTTACTTACCTTCCGTGCAATCCGTGTCATCAACTCTTTCTTTCAGAACAAATTTGACAAATTCAGGACAAGTTCAAATGAGGCTTTCAGATGTGATGACAGTGTTAACATTGATGGGTTATTTCATTCGAGGACAATTTTGACTTGATCAGAGGACATTTTTTGCTCACAAGTGCATCACTCTAGTTGACCAAGTCTAGCTGGGTGAGATGACAGTTAACACTTTTCTTTATCACTCAGGTGTAATACACCTTGATCAGTTATTTGATTCACAACTACTTTAAGATGACAATTTTTACTTTTGACTGCATCACTCAGGTGTAACACACCTTGATGTGTTATGTTTTATTTTCTGTAGCTACTATACTGATGGTCGCAATAAGAGTCCAATCTTGCTACTCAGTTCATTTTCACAGTTATTTCATTACCGAACAAGCTCCAATGGATAACAGTTTTCACTTTTGAGTGCATCACTCAGGTGTAATACACCTTGATCAGTTATTTGATTATCGGACAAGTTCAACTTGGTGAGATGACAGTTTTCACTTTTGAGTGCATCACTCAGGTGTAATACACCTTGATCAGTTATTTGATTATCGGACAAGTTCA